GAACGGGTATTCATTGGGAAAATACGATAAATGATATCTCATGACACAATATTACAGCAAGATAGAGGCCATCTTTCGGCACACAATTACGACACATTTTATGACAAAATTGATCCTAAAAATAATTAATCAATGCAGAAAATTGTTATATTTTAGCTATATAAACGCATTAAAAGAAATTTTATATAAAACGTTCATATATTTGTAACTATAAATATCAAAACCACTTGAAAACTGCAAGTTTTCATTATCAAAACTCGTGATTTTTAAATAATTAAATTAAAAAACTGAAAGATAAATTAAATTTCAAAACTGTGTTACAAACAATGGGCTTTTGCTGTGTTTTCAGAAATACAAAGTATTTTACTTCAAATACATCAAAGAATCACACAGAAAATAATAGAGATATAAAGATTTAATAAAGATTTAAAGGAATGTATGTAATTTGTCTTTTTCTACAAGACACAACAATCAATTACATTGTTATAGAATTATTTTCGTTTTTCATTACGTTAAAATGAGAAATAGCTTCTAATATCAGCGCAAACTTTATGCGCTATTTATAGAAAATCGTGAATAACTGTGCAATTGATATGCCTTAAAATATCAATAAAAGCTCTATTAATCAGGCTTTAACACTGAACGAATCCTTTGTTCAGATTAGATATGACAAGTATGGCAGAATGAAACATGTGTCGACAGTACCACTAAACTTTTCTCCCTAGAAATCAATCTCTAACGCAAGCTAATGTTACCGTCAATAAAATTAAATAGATTAGATTAAGAACGTTCCTGGCAATTTCGTTGAAACTCGCCTTAGAACTGTGTTGAGAAATTACAAGTATCTATAAAATATATATTGATGTTATTGCTAAGCTTTTTCCCCCTAGAAACCGAGCTCTAATGTAACCTAATATTATCATCAATAGAGCTAGATTAGATTAGAGACGTTTCGTTGAAATTCGCTTTAAAACTTTGTTAAGAAAATTTCATCAGCGGCATGGGAAGCATTCTTCCTGCGTTTAGCATTGCCACGAACGGCAATGCTGCCGTTCCCTTGCGAAGGAAAGCGTTATGTTCAACAGATGTCGGGGTAACGACTCGAAGGGGTAGGCAAGAGCGACAATGTAGAAGGAAGATAAATGTGTCACGAGGGTCGATAACCAGGCTAGAGATCACCGACGCGGAATTCTGCAGAAGTTACTACAGTAACTACGGAAAATTTATTCTCGCAACGCGACTATATAAATGGCATATGTACGTGTGAACCTCTCCGAGGCATTCGAATAGATCTCTCCTTAACGCAAATTATTTTAACGCAACGTGATATCTTTGATTTATAAGATGGTGAAAGGTGCTTTCGTTTTAATTTCAACGAGTTTTGAAATATACGCTTTAATAAAGCGTACTTTAACTCGAGGATTAATTGGTATTTACAGTAGGAAAAGAAAACAACTGTTAAAAGGGACACTTATAATTTTTCGCCAAAAATAGCGGTTATTTCTATTTTGCTTTTTTAAAATTATTATCTTTCTTCTTATTTTAAAAATTTTATTAAAAATACGATTCTGGAATTTTTTAATTTATCTCAATTACTCCTGATAGAATATTAAAGTCAGAAAATTTTTAAATTCTATCTTTTTTTGATAAAAATATGTATTAAAGAAAATGGAGACGATAAAAAAAATGACCGCTTGGTACTTTTACTGTTAAAAGAGACTACAGAAAATCCGATCCAAAAGTCTGTCGAAAGTGCGGGACATTTATGATAGTTCATGCATAAGAATCGGTACTTCTGGCCCGTTCGTGCGATATCGCGAAAAGAGAAAATTTCGAGTCGCCGCAATTTCTACCGGTATAAGATGTAAGATATATAAGTTTCGAATCACGTCGGTCGGAATCTCGCGGTCTCAGAAGCATTCCGTATGTGTTACAGTCCGCCAGTAATGAAAATGTGAGAAGCCCGTTAACCAGCCGCTCCTAACAATCACACAGCAGCCGACAATGAAGATACAAAAGCGAAGCGACGAACGAATTCTCAATTGGCCATTATACCGATCATTAGCGATGATTTTCGCTCACAATATCGTTCTAATGAATCGCGATAATTAAGCGAGACGAGAGTGAGGGATGCTATCTCGCTGGGAAGAATTTCAACTTTCGCGCGAGAAAGCGTCGTTGTCATCGACAATGACGAACAAACAATTGATTTTCGCGACCATCGATTCACGCGGGGAAAAGAAGGGATTCGCGACATTGTGCCGATCTTTACAGAAAAAAAAATTCGTCTTAAATCAAGACACTACATGTATTCATATATAAATAAGAATATCATAATTTCTATATAGAAGAGTTTTAATCGATCAAATAAATTTTGAATCGAGCAAAGGTAATACTTGAATTGATACAAACTCCATCAAATCAAGATTTTTAAGAAAATTATAATATTCTTATATACTTTTCTTGGTTTAAGATTAATTTTTTTTGCACATAATTTTGATGATTTAACAAAATTATTTTTAGATCTATATTGAGCTAAATTTTTAGATTTGCCAGAAAAATTATTCTCTCCGTATATCCTCGACAATTTCGACATGCCGATTATTATATCTTTGCGTTTCTCAGGAGCCGAAACAAGCGCAACGATTCTGACGGAATAGACGGAACTTTCGTCTAAGATCGTTTTCTTGCCTTGTGTCGGAAGCGGGATGCCCCGCTTTCTATATCAATAAAATCGCGCAGCGGAAAGCAACGGATCTACCGCAAATAGACGTTACTCCGAAATTACCGCATCGAATTTATTCCGCGAATTAACCTTCTTTCCCCCGATTAAATATCAAACGAGAATCTATCTCGGAATGGTATCGCCTTTATATTAATGAAAATCGCGAATACATATAGAACATATTCCAGATAGAAAGGTCAATTAAATGTAATGCTAGGATATTCTCGAGGAGTAAAAACACGCTTCGAGATTAAAAGTATCTCAAGATTCTTTCAAGCTTGGCTGAAACTTGAGCTCGCAAGAAGCATAATAAGGGAATATTCCCGCAAACGCTAGACATTAATATTACATTTCTTCCCTTCCCAATCTTCGATCGAGAAACAGACGTGCGCGAGAGGATCGTGTATTTTTACTTGTTCTCATTACATCTTCATCTCAATCTTCGATCGCCATTTAACTAAATTGTGCAATTTCGTGCATTAAATTTACTGCATTATTCACTAGCTTATATTTATATTTTTGTACAAAAAGAACGATTTTGTCGAAATATCTAAAAATTTGACTAGATACAGATCCAAAAATAATTTTGTTAAACTCAAAATAAATGTAGAACGTAGTTTGAGAAAATGATAATATTTTAACGATAATGTTTTTTCATAGTCTAGCAACTAACTTGAGTCCTATGTAATTATATTGATGATCCAAGAAAAAATTATTTTCAGTATCTGGTCAAGATTTTTTATATATGTTATCAAAAGCGATCTTTTCATGAATATTGGCGATTCATGGGATTCATGGGATTCATAAACTTAACACGATTGTACTTTTCATTGGGATATGTCTCGGTCGAAGGCATATCCCGCTCCGAAAGTTGACAGCAGCCGCCATTTTGAAGCGGTCCGCGCGAAGGCCGTCTTTATGCATGTATTTTTATTGCGCGTCGCAGCAAGATAATTACGCTTACGACGTCGAGACGCGCGTTTAAGCACGTACGATGAAATTACCTCGACCGAGAGAACGTACGACAATCCAAAGAGTGCGAGATCGCATTTCATGGGGATTTGCGAAATGCAGCATCAATTCTAAGAATGGATACTGAGTTGAATTGCTGAGTTGACGCTTACTCGAATTTCTCGTGGCAATTTTTTTTTTATGATAGCCTTCAATATTTATTTTCTCTTTTTCTCTCGCGTCTTGAAGACATAATGTCTTTCAACCCGAATTTCGTCGAACGAATTTAAAGACAATCGTGAAATAATTACGAATGGATGCGGATTTGTGAACAGGGATTCTCCGTCTCTTACAGAAATTTAACATTGGAAAATAGTAATTTTAATTGTATTTTGAATATTAGAAGCACTGTTGTTCGGTGCTTTTAACATGCAAAATAAGTAACTTCCAACGTTATGTTGAATTTCTGTAAGGGTCGTTCGTGGAGTTCGCGTCAGAGGGATCGGAATGCGCGTTGTGTAAGTCATTCGCGCTCTCTTCATCCACACCCCGATTCCCGCTGAGCGAAATGCCGCGCGCGTCCGTTGCTTCTTGGACCATCAGGCGACATAAATCATCCCCAGCCGCGTCAATGCAACACGGCGTATACGCGTACGTACGTACTCCGAGCGGACTGGCTGACGCGGATTAAATCGCGCCGCCATGTCGTCGATCGCGACAGTCGGGGACGGCACGGACGGGGGATTTAAATCGCCGCCGATTATCCGCATCACGACGACAGGGAGGACGCGCGAGGACGAGCCGCGAGCTGTTATCGTGAGACGATCGGCGCGAAATACTCCTATCTGCTTCTATCTATGTCGATCGATCTATCTCGCCGAAAGTGCACTGATCACTCGAGATTGCATCAGTTCAATCGAAATCCGCGGATTAATTCTCGCTCGCGTCTGCGATTTCACACATCCACTCTTTCTCTCTCTAATAACAGACTTCTCGCGCTATACCGTAAATTCCGAAAACGCCTACGATTCCGAGGGACAAATCGACTGCGCACGCGGAGTTTTCGCCGCAAGAATCGCCCGATAGAAAAAGGGCGAAAGAAAGAGAAAGAAGCGACGACAATCGGAGAAACCGGCGCTTGTTCGACGCGAGTAGGATAAAGGCGATCGATCCTCCCTCACTGGGCACGCAGATCGACAGACTGGACGGACAGACACGCACGCACGTATGCACGCATGCAAGAAAGAAAATGCGAGAGGACCGATTTGGTCGTCGGAGCTGAGGGCGGGGGAAAGGAAGAGAAAAAGATGCTCGCGACACTCACCTCGTACTTGATACCGTTCAACCGCAACCACGTCTCCACCTTGAGACCGTACGGGGATAAGGACGGCAACAGCGGCGTCCGCGGGAACTGATACAGATAAACAACGTCCTTCTCGTAATCGGGGTGGTGCACGGTGTTGGCCTTCGCCGGCGCCGTGGCCGCGCCGCCTGCCGCGGCCGCGGCGGCGTCGTCGTCCTTCTTGCCGGCCGTCTCGTCCTTCTTCGCCGCCGCGTCCTTCTCCTCCTGCTTGTTGTCCGGCGGCGCGTCGTCCTTAAGCGCCTCTTTCATCTCCTTCACGTCCTTGATCTCCTTGCTCTCGGGTCCGTTATTCTCCGTCTCAGTTGCCATCGTCATTCTCGCGTCCAGCAACGCCGATGCGCGTCTCTACGTCTCGTCGTCCCTTTCCGTCCGGCCGGAGCTAATCGCGGAGTTTGCTCCTGCGTCGCTCGTTCCCTCTCGCTTTCTCTCTCTCTCTCTCTCTTCTCGCTCTCGTCTCTGAGCCTCCTCTCTCGATCGCGCGTGCACTCCGATCTCGAGCCTATCTCGACGGTAGCGCGCACTACACAAACCGTACGCCAAGCACACGTCGCCTCTTTCTGCTCGCCGGCCGGTTCCTCCTCGTCAGCGCTCGCGCGAGATCCCCGTCCTCCCCCTACCTACTTACGCACGGCTCCCTTGCCGGTTCCCTCGCGCTCTCCTGCCCGCGCACGCGGCGATCGCGCGCATGCGCAAGCGCCACACCCCGCCGTGGTCGACATATTTAATTGGTCGGCCACCCCTGCCCATATGTGCGCGAGCGAGAGAGACAAAAGGTGGGAAAGAGCGCGCGCGTACTTCTTCCCTCTCTCCCGCCGCCCCGATCTTTCCATCCCACTCGTCGTGCCGGAGAACTCCAGGAAAGTCGCGGCAACGCCGCCGCCATCTCCGCTGCAGCGGCTAGCGATGGCTTCGAGCAGGGCCGAAGGGCCGTCAATACCTTTCGCTCGAAACGAACGATGCGCAGGGCTGTTTCTGAAGTTACTCCCTGGCAAACTGAAGGGAAAGAAATCGATGATAAAAGAAAAAAGAATGGCAAGAACCGATGAATTTGACGCGCCGTACTACTCGGCTCACCATTTCAATGATTTTAATTTTACCGCAATTTCTGATCATTTTTAAGTGTGATAAATATCGCTCTTATCGCCTTCATTATCCGAGTAGCGTAAGAAACGGAGCGTGTAAGAGAGAAAGAAAAACAGAAGGAGGAGGTAACATTGCAGTCTTGTCTGACAATGAGGCAAACAAAAACTTTGCTTACTTCACGGCACGAATCTTGCCGTTTTATGTGCACGTTGAACGCATGCGCGGGTTCTCGGCATTCTGATCACGGCCCTGAGTCCATCGTTCTATCGATCGAGTTTGGAGGATCGTTCCCGAGGAGTGCGTCGTACGAGCTGGAGCGCCGAAAATCGGATCGGTCCCATCGCTCGCGCGTCCCGGGCGACCGCCGACGCAACGCGTGCGCAGCGCAGCGCTGCGCGGCGCGC